TATACGATTTCAGCCACTGTTTTCTGGCAAGTTTTCGAGTTAGCACAGTATCAAGTTGCAAACTTTTGCAAGATCGTATGTGCTGCACAAGCGTGCGCGACAGCTGAATTTGAAATCTTTAGCTCGCGCGTGCACAGAGAACATTCCTGCAAAGTTTCAGCTTTGTACCTTGCCTGGTTCGTGAAATCTTTTCCCGCCAAGGAAATTTGCATATTTTTTTCGGGGGCCCGTACGCGGGATCTTGGCGCATGTGAGCGAGGATTTCAAAAAGGGAGGCCAACACATAGAGTGGCAATATGACTCCAAAATTTCAGCCTCCCAGCTTTTCTGGTTGCTGAGATGAAAGTGGGTGACAAAGTTCACTCGCTCCCGAACATACACACACAGACAACTTCTCGACAATATGCGTTTTTGCTGGCTATAGCAGTGTTATAGCGCTGCACAGCAAAAACGCATAAAAAAGGAAGAGACTGGTTTCTTAACGGCAAAAACTTTAACTTCTTTCTGAAATCAGATACCGGTATTTTTTTGTTTTATTATTTTCTATAGTTTTTTACAATCAATGCACAAAGGAATTGCAGTTTGTCGCTATGGAGTTGTTAATGAGTATAATGCTGATGGCTGTAGAGCGAACTCTAACGCTATTTTTCCCGCATCGGCCAGTGTTCAGTCGATGGCACACGTTAACATTTGTTGCTGTTTTATGGATAATAAGTATATGCTTTGCAGTGCCTATCCTTACTGATTCGATCCCTGTAAAGCCTTTCAAATATCGATACATCTGTGATATTGACAGGTCATTATTTCGGGAACGCCTAACGAGTCCTCTTTGCATGTTGAATACATTTTTGCAGTTAATGGAAGGCACACCACAATGAAATCAAATCTATGCAAGTTTGAATCCGAAAACACAAAAACTTAGAAATTGAAAATTTAAGCATTCAGTCACGGATAACAGGTGATTACACTTAATTAATGCCTACTTTCGGATCTGAACGTTCGTTTCAGAAATAGCAGCTGTTTAACAGTTCATTGATTGGTTTTGATTACTTCGTCTAGGCATGCTCAAGATGTCAAGGAGTCACACTGTCTTCAGATTACATTTTCTCTGGGAAGGTGTTTTCATTAGTTACAACAATGTGTTTTCACATGTACAACTTTCGGTTGTATCTGATTCTTGCTGAGGCAGAAAACTTTCGAAGAAATTAAGAGGTCGTACAGTTGCGATTAGTCTTCAGCCTCAAATCGCTTACAAAAAATGCAGTCTGTATTTTGCAGGCCATCTTCTAAACAGCAACTAGGTCTTTGCAGGTTATATTTTGTTTGTAGTAAGATAATCATTTTAGCATTATTAATCACCTGCCATACACACAGTTCCTTTCTCAGTAGAGGTGACCACCCTTATGTGGCTGAATAAGTAGAGCGGAGCAGCTTACAAACACATGATACGGAAGTGAAGAAAATAAAGACTGGTGATACAGAATTTAGCCAATTTGATGGAAAATCCATTCAGGAAAATTGACTTTATTAGTAAGAGCACAAAATTCATTCATGAAGTCATGAAAATCAGTGTGGAAATGTAAAACTGAGCTGAAAAAAGAGTAACTGGATTTTAAAACACTAAATCTGAGAGTAAACTGTAAAGGCTCTAATTGATTTTGACGCAAAGATAGATTAGAGCATAATTTGGACAGAAATAACGACTTTGAAGAAGAGGCGCAATTTTCGATAAAGCATGAAGTGTTGAAAAGTGCTTCTTTCCAAAAACTGGCTTCAAAAGTAGCTTCAAATGTACGATTTTCGAGTTACTGACAAATTCACGTCACTAATTTTGTAGCGGAGTGCCGATATTATATCCAATAACGCGCATTTTGGTTTATGGTGGCTGCTTGTTTATTTCATTTATCTGTTTTGGTGCGCTCTTGTCGCGCGGCAATCAGCGCAAGGCGCGATCTTTACCAATGAAACCGCATGAAAACTCGGAGTTTATCAAGCAGTCCCGTGCACTGCATGAGTTCCTCAGCCTTGTCAAGCTAGTCCTCCTACTCATGATTCTATTTATCCTTTTTGACGGGCCTTATATCATGCTCAGCTTTTTTATAGAGGTTAGTTTTTTTCAGCTATTGATTTTTATGCGTTTTTGCATTTGCATATATGCAAAAACGCATATTGGCAAGAAGCTGCCCCTGTATGTTTGTGTTCGCACTTTTTA